GGGGCTTCTGGTGTCCTGGCCCCACTGCTGGATCTCCTGATGGCCCCTGGTATTTTTGGCCACTGTGTGACACAGAGTGTTGGACTGGGTGGGCCATTGGCCTGATCCAACATTGGCTCCTCTTTTGTTAAGAGCAGAGGTCCATCAGTGGCTATTATCCATAAGGTATAGATAGGAACTCTCGGTCTGGGGCAAGGGATGCTCTGTCTTCTTGTTGCTTGGGTGGGGGTCAACAGTGGGAGGGCTTCTAGTGTCCTGGCCCTACTGTTGGACCTCCTGAGGGCCCCTGGTATTTCTGGCCACTGTTGGGGGGGGGCAACAGTATTGGACCAGATGAGCCATTGGCCTGATCCAACATTGGTTTCTCTTATTTTCTTACATCTGGGGCAAGTGAAAAAAAGAGCAGTTTCTGTCAGAGCTCTCTCAACCCCACCTACTTCACAGGGCGTCTGTTGTGGGGATGGGAAGGGAAAGGAGTTCGTAAGCTGCTCAAAGACTTCAGGTGAAGGACGAGGTATAACTCCAATCTCCTCTTCTTCTAAAAGCAATTGATTTATTGGGGTATGTACAAAAGCCCAAATGAATGTGCTTAATGTGTTGCCGAAGGCTTTCACGGCCAGAGTTTGTTAGTTACTGCAGATTTTCCGGACTGTCTGGCCGTGGTCTTGGCATTGTAGGACCTGACGTTTCGCCAGTAGCTGTGACTGGCATCCTCAGAGGTATAACACAGAAAGATTGAGTCCTCTCTGTGTCAACGTTTAATCATATGCAAGACTAGCTTTAATCATGTGCAATGCGTTTAATCATATGTAAGACTAGGTTTTTTCCAAGGGATACTGTAAAAGGGGGAGTACCTTACATTTCCATACATATCGGTTGCTTGCGGGCTGGGTAAGAGCTGTGGATGGGCCACTCCTGGCCCCTGGGCCTTTATGTTTGACACCCCTGGTTTAATGCGTCCTGTTAATGCTTTCGCTTTGTTTCAGTTCTGGTTGGTTCTACAACCCAAATCCTGTTGCATTGTTGAGTGAATGCCCCATCCTGTTGATCGTCTTGACTCACTCTTGTGTCATCCACCGAGAGATATAAAATTTCCGGAAATTTTGAAAATTTGAAAAAAATTGAAAAAAACAGAAATTTTTGGAAAAATTGAAAAAAATGCTACATTAACTCTTCTTTTCCCCCCCAAATTAAAAGTCATTCTGCTACTTTAGGAACATAAAATATGACTATGGACATTTTTACTTGGCATGAAATTATCACAACTAGCCTATTAAAGATATAGTGTATCCAAACAATTATTACAAACAAAATACCCACCCACATGCAAAAACAAAACAAACCTTTTTCTTTTCTTGTGACAACAGCACCTCCTAAAGGAAGAAATGCATCTTGTTCTTGCATTGGAGAGTTCAGTTTGTAACCTAGGACTTGCTTGTCCTCAGTGCACAGAAATTAGATCAATCTGATACCAAACATATTTTTTAGAAATTATTTGAACAATATTTGAACACCTTGTCTTTAAGTATTTTATTCATCATGTTAAAATAACGCGTTCCATAATCAATTTTTTCTTCTTTTCTTTTCCTTCTGAATTTTTCTGTTTTTTTTCTGGGCCTTCACACCTCTACGTCCACCTCAGTGCAAGTGAGAATATAAATAATGCAAATAGGAATATAAATAATGCAAATAGTTGAAACTTCTGCGGGCGTGAGAGTGAACTGGTCACGCCGGGTGAGATCAGGCTAGGGCGTTTGAGAATCCGCCGCGTCTCTGAATGGGGGTTTGCCCCCCCAGCTGTTGATTGCCCCCCCCACACAATGTCCTCTCTTCTGTTTTGTCTCCTAGGCAGGCCCCATTCCAGCCCACATCACCGAGCGCCTGGCGTGTTACGAAAAGCTAAAAGCGGCCGCAGAGGGAAAACTTGCCCAGAGAGCCTCCGAAGAGAGCAGACGGATCCAGATTTCCCTGCCAGATGGAAAAGCGGTGGAGGGGGAGGCCTGGAAAACCACGCCGTATCAGGTTGCTCTGCGGATGAGGTGACTTCAGTGTCCTTCCTGCCACTGCTTTCTCTAGAGAGAAGAAGAAGGAGAAGAGATTGGATTTACACCCCATGGCCCTTCACTACCCAAAGGAGTCTCAAAGCGGCTTACAAACTTCTCTCCCTTCCCCTCCCCACAACAGACACCCGGTGAGCAGTGTTCCCTCTAAGCTGAGTGAGTGTGAGCTAGCTCACAGTTTTTTAACCTCCGGCTCACACAGTTTTGTCTCAGCTCAGGAAGGATGGCTCCAGAGCAAACTAATGTATGCAGTAGCCAATTTGCTTGCTCACAACTTCAATGGCTGTACCTCACAAAGTAGAATTTTTGCTCACAAGACTACACAGCTTAGAGGGAGCACTGCCGGTGAGGTAAGTGGTGCTGAGAGAGCTCAGACAGAAACGGCACTTTTTCAAGAACACCTCTTGACAGAACTTGCTTGCCAATGTTGGATCAGGCCAAAGGCCCATCCAGTCCAACACTCTGTATCGCACAGTGGCCAAAAATACCAGGTGCCATCAGGAGGTCTGGCAGTGGGGCCAGGACATTAGGAGCCCTCCCACTGTTCATCCCCCCCAAGCACCAAGAAGACAGAGCATCACTTGCCCCAGAGTCCCTATCTATACCGTGTGGCTAATAGCCACTGATGGACCTCTGCTCCATATGTTTATCTAATTCCCTTTTGAAGCCGTCCATGCTTGTAGCCGCCACCACTTCCTGTGGCAGTGAATTCCATGTGTGAATCACTCTTTGGGTGAAGAAGTACTTCCTCTTATCCGTTCTAACCCGACCGCTCAGCAATTTCATGGAGTGCCCACGAGATCTTGTATGGTGAGAAAGGGAGAAAAGTACCTCTTTCTCTACCTGCTCTATCCCATGCATCATCTTACGAACCTCAATCATGTCACCCCTCAGTCATCGTTTCTCCAAGCTAAAGAGCCCTAAGCGCTTTAACCTTTCCTCATAGGGCTCTCTTTCGGCTCTGCTCCTACAGAGAGCAGGGGGTTGGACTAGATGACCTGCAAGGTCCCTTCCAACTCTGACATTCTATGATTCTACAGAGGAAGAAGAAAATTTCAGCTTCAACAGGCCTACTAGGGGGGAGGGGTTACAGAGGATGGAGGGGTGTGTGAGAGGGCTGGATTTCTTACTATGGCGTCGCGATCCTCAACCAAATGCCTGGCGGAACATCTCTGCTTTACACGCCCTGTTCAAAGGTAATAATTCCCACAGGACACGGATGTTCTCCAGCAGAGAGTTCCACCAGGCAGGGGCCAGGACTGAAAAGGCCCGGGCCCTAGTTGAGGACCGCTGGGTCCCTTCTCGGGCCGGGGTCCACCAGGGGGTTGTTATTCCCTGAGCGGAATGCTCTTCCAAGGGCATACGGAGAGAGACGGTCCCAAAGGTACGTGGGTCCCTGACCGCCAAGGGCTGTAAAGGTCAGAACCAAAACTTTGAGCCCGAGCCAGTGCTCCACTAGGAGCCACTGTAGTTTGCACAGCACAGGTTGAATGTGCGCCAAGCCCTGCTGGGTCAGGCCAGTGAGGGCCCATCCAGTCCAGCCTCCTGTCTCACACAGGGGCCAGCCGGTTCCTCTAGAGGGCCAGCAACTGGGCAGAGAGGCCGAGGCCTTCCCCTGAGAAGAACGCCAGAAGAGCCCTGCTGGGTCAGACCAGGGAGGGTCCCTCTAGTCCAGCCTCCCGTCTCACACAGGGGCCAGCCAGTTCCTCTGGAAGACCAACAACAGGGCATGGAGGCTGAGGCCTTCCCCTGAGAAGAACCTCAGAAGAGCCCTGCTGGGTCAGACCAGTGAGGGTCCATCCAGTGCAACCTCCTGTCTCACACAGGGGCCAGCCAGTTCCCTTGGAGGGCCAACAACAGGGCAGAGAGGCCGAGGCCTTCCCCTGAGAAGAACCTCAGAAGAGCCCTGCTGGGTCAGACCAGTGAGGGTCCATCCAGTGCAGCCTCCTGTCTCACACAGTGGCCTCTATCAGTTCCTCTGGAAGACCAACAACAGGGCATGGAGGCCGAGGCCTTCCCCTGAGAAGAACATCAGAAGAGTCCTGCTGGGCCAGACCAGGGAGGGTCCATCTAGTCCAACCTCCCGTCTCACACAGGGGCCACCCAGTTCCTCTGCAGGGCCAGCAACAGGGCGTAGAGGCCGAGGCCTTCCCCTGAGAAGAACATCAGAAGAGCCCTGCTGGGTCAGACCAGTGAGGGTCCATCCAGTCCAGCATCCTGTCTCACACAGGGGCCAGCCAGTTCCCCTGGAGGATCAACAACAGGGCAGAGAGGCCGAGGCCTTCCCCTGCTGTTGCCTCCTGGCTGTGGGATTCAGAGGATTAGTGCCTCTGAATGTGGAGGTTCCATTCAGTCACCACGGCTAGTAGCCACTGATAGACCCCTCCTCCCTCTATCTGTCTAATCCCCTTTTAGAGCCGTCTGTGCCTGCCCAGCAGTGACCATAGCTTCTGGTGATAACCTCTGGGGATTGGTTCTGTTTATATCGGGCACCTTGAGTTTTTAAAATTTAGATTCCTCCTTTCCCTGGCAGGTACTTATCCTTGTTGTAAGTTACTGTGTTTGGTTTTGTGTTTGGCTTTAAATTCATGCAACCCTTAGCTCACCATTAGCTTGGGATAGTGGTGAAGTGCGCGGACTCTAATCTGGGAGAACCGGGTTTGATTCCCCCACTCCTCCACTCGCAGCTGCTGGATGACCTTGGTCAAGTCACAGTTCTGTCAGAGCTGTTCTCTCAGGAGCAGTCCTCGAGAGAGCTCTCTCAGCCCCACCTCCCTCACAGGGTGTCTGTTGTGGGGAAGGGAACGGAGTTTGTAAGCCGCTCTGAGACGCTAAGTGAAGGGCAGGGTATAAATCCAATCTCTTCTTCTTCATTGAGTGTGTCATAAATTCTTATAATATTTATTTATTTATTTATTGTATTTGTATCCCGCCCATCCCACGAGCAGGCTCAGGGCAGGTCAGATCATCTTCAACAATATGATAAGGTTTAAAAACACAATAATATCATGTATGTGGGGGGGAAAGTTTGGGGCTGGATCTCTTTCATTAGCGATGGTACCTTCCCTTGATGTCCGAGGCAGGGGAACGCTCCGCCCCGCGCCTGGGGGAAGCCACTGCTGTCCATGGAACAGATCTGCAGGAACCGGGATGTAGTGTGGCCGGAGACAGATGTTGGGTGAAAATGTCTTCTGCCCGCTTTCTGCCAAAGGAGTTTCTTCAGGGTTAGCAAAGCTGGACGTTGTAACTCTTTCCTGGTCTTCCAGCCGGGGTCTGGCCAAGGCCGCCGTCACCGCCCGCGTCAACGGGAGCCTCCATGACCTGGATCGCCCGCTGGAGGGGGACGCTGAGTTGGAATTTGTGGATTTTGCCTCCCGGGATGGGCAGACAGTGAGTATCCAGGGATTTCCGTGTGACTTACAGGATAGAGCACTGAGGTCAGGGTCGTAACATTGTTTGGCCCTCCCTGGTGTGAAAGAAGCCAGGCTGCACATCACCAGAGCCAGGGCCTTCTCAGTGGTGGCTCCATACTGGTGGAATGAGCTCCCAGAGGACATCAGGGCCCTGCGGGACCTCGTACAGTTCTGCAGGGCCTGTAAAACGGAGCTCTTCCACCAGGCTTTCAATTAAGAGCCGCCACTGACGAATGTGCCCTGGAACATCACCTGGCCTGAAATCTAGAACATCTCCTGGCCTGAGACTTCGCTGGATGCTACTTAGAGATGTGAAGGCCCGGAAAAAAAACAGAAATTTTTTTGGGGGGAACGGTTTATTTTCCGTTTTTTTTCCTGAAGCCTTTTTTGTTTTTTTCCTGAAAAATTGAGAAAAGAAAGAAAAGAAAAAAATTGATTATGGAACATTTTATTTTAACATGATGAATAAAATATTTTAAGACAAGGTGTTCAAATATTTTCCAAATAATTTCTAAAAAATATGTATGGTATCAGATTGATCTAATTTCTGCGCACTGAGGACAAGCAAGTCCTAGGTTACAAACTGAACTTTCCAATGCAAGAACAAGATGCATTTCTTCCTTTAGGAGGTGCTATTGTCACAAGAAAATAAAAAAGTTTCAGTTTTGTTTTGCATGTGGGTGGGTATTCTGTTTGTTTGCAGGGCTATTTTTGGGCAGGAACGCACAGGAACGGAGTTCCGGCTGGCTCCCAAGTTGGCCACGCCCAGCAGGAACTCATTAGCATAATAGGCCACACCTAACAGCAGAAACTCATTAGGATTGGCTACATTAGGGGAGTGTGGCCTAACATGCAAAGGAGTTCCTGCTACAAAAAAAGCCCTGGCTTTTGTCAACAAACAAGGTAAACAGAATAAGAAGCAAAAGGTGGGTGTGGCTGGATGACCACACTTCTGGTAACATGGGGGTGTGGCCTAATGTGCTAATGAGCTGTACTATCAGGGGTGTGGCCTAATACGCTAATGAGTTCCTGCTGTTGGGTATGGCCTATTATGCTAATGAGTTCCTGCTGGGCTTTTTCTACAAAAAAAGCCCTGATGTCG